TTGCAAACAACAAAGTTTTTTGTAGCTGTTTACCTAAAAATGCAGCCAAGGCATTTTTTTTTTAAATAAACATTTCAAACTATTTACAGAACAATCAGGTGTTCTGCATCAAATCTGATGCCACACAAATTATTTGGGTCACTCCAAAAAATAATTTCTGTCCACTATGAGATAAAGGAGAACAACAGCCTGATACCTGCAGGCCCGAGATGTATCACTCCTGGCAGAGAGTGCTTTCAAGCACTTTCCTTATAAAACTCAGTTTTTACCGTTGCTTTCCGCAGTAAATATAAACAATGATAATATTCAGGGGAAAAAAAAAACATTGCATATATTTTTATCATAACTCTGGTTTTACGTGACCTCAACACAATTTAAAAACTGGTATAAAGTTCACACTTTTTCCATCAATTGTTCCGTCTGTCCTGCTCACATCTCCAATGGTTGTACACGTTGTCATTAACGTGGCTTCACTCCACATCAGCCACACCGCTTTGTTAGCTAAAACACTGGTGTCGGCACATAAGGACGCTGTCATAGCCTGTCAACGACGTTGATTAGCTGCGTATATACTGTAGACCCTCACTGTCACCTCTCTCCTGACCTCCTTTGACAGTGATTTTAACCACAATTTTGAGTCCTTGATTTATCACTTCCTAGGACCTGTTCCCACTGATTATCAATTTCCAGTACTTATGTATTTTGGCATAGCATACCAGCCTTTTCTTCCTGTTTTCCTTGCTTAAGAATGGTTTCTTGACTGCTGCTTGAGTTTGAGTTTTAAATACTGTTAAATTCAGTTGTTTTCCACCTTTCCTTCTGTACTTCCTTTGTGGAAAGGATTAAATACCCATAATTTACCATAATTTCTATGAAATGCTGAAATCTCATTGTTGGTTCAAAGAGTTGCTTTGTTCAGGAGATGTTTTCAAAGGAACTTGAGCTTGTTTTGGACAAAGTGACAGAACTAGTGACAAGACTTTTTTTTTGACACGTACTCAGTATAATCAGAAGTTATTTTCCAAAGCTACATATGAAAGCATTTCAGCAGAGAGGTCACATCTCATGTCATCCTGCTTGTAAATGGCTCATGTTCCATATTATACTAGAAAGAAAATGGAAGGCACTGTGAATGACAAAATAGAATTAGCTTGGGGTCAACCAAAGTAATGGAGTCAGTTAGGGGGTTAATACATAATTCATGTGACTTCTTCACTCATCCTGACCTTTTTTGGGCAGCAACTCTTCCCGCTGAGGATTGTTACCATGGCGCTGGTTGCCCGAGGAAGTTGTCAACAAAGAGACCATGGCGCTGGTTGCCCGAGGAAGTTGTCAACAAAGAGGCTTTTTGTCTCTTGTGTTTTTTTCTGAAGGATAGGAAATGTAATTGTTTGACAAAAATAGCCTAACTTTACTCCTCCCTGAATGACTGGTGACAGCAACCTTTTGCTATGTAAGCACACATACAGAGTTTAACAAATTTAAGCGACCACCACCTTGTGAAATATTTATGCCACAGCTGCTGTAAATTAACAGTATTGGAAATTGAAAAAAATATTTTATGTTTCTGTTATACCTCTAGATCCATCTTGCATCTGGATACAATGTGTAACATATTAGATCAGGTGTGTCATCTTGATTATGAGATCTATGACTTGAATATTAGACTTCCCAGAGCTTTTCCTTTAAAAAAAATAATTTAAAGAAGCTTCTAACTAGCAAATGCACATTATCTATGTTTTATCAATAATACGGCAGATGGGACCAAAATTTCTATTTGAAATGAGCACATCTTTACCAGTGTTACAGAATTATACTCCAGAGGAATATGTGTAGCAATTGGGTGTAGTGATCATAAATGGTGATCAAAAACTGAAGTACCCAGAACGGGATCAAGTAAAAGATGTTTTAGAGATTCAATTAAACATAAATTTGTAGACAGCATTCAGAGAGTTTCCTGGTTAGATGTTTTATTATAAATGGAAAATTTTAGTGAAATTATTTTGCTGTTTTTGGTGAAATATCATACACCATGAATGCCAGAAAGTCGAAAATATTAGCCATATATATGGCTAATATTTCTACATATCCAGATGATGCAACAGTATACATGTGAAGTCTATTTGAAATTATTGGACCATGCATGGCCCTCAGACTAAGTTGGAGTGCATTTATCAAGAGAAGAGGTGCTTTATTACAATTTTCTTTTCACATAAAGCGGAAATCTGTGTGTAACAGCTTACATGTATGATGTAGTAGAACACAAAACATTATTTACTGTTAGATCCCAAGCCAGCTGTGTGTCAATAAAGATACTGTTATTGTGCCACATTTGTAAATATGCATATTGCTCTGGGTTTTCTGCCGCGTGTGAAACTGTAATGAAGTTATGCATTAGGGCTGCTGAAAACCTTGCCATGAGTTATTTTCTAAAGAAATGACAGGCACATCGTTTCTTGGCTTTGTAAGTGATGGAGGAGCTGCTGTGATTGGCCAGTAGAGAGGAGCTGCTGCAGTTGTGGGTGAAAAGATAAACCGTCATTCACTGCATCATTAAGAGAACATGCTTCTGTGATGTTGTAAAACATGTTAGAGACCAGAGATATTTTCACAATGACTCGCAAATTCCAAAAGTCTGCTGTTGATCTCAGGAAGTGGGTGTCTCCTATAGAGATTTACAACTGTGTGAGGAAGAAAAGGGAAATGACGCACTGAAGGAAAGCAGAAAAAAGTCCCCTATCAAAGCAGACCATTTCTACAGAGTGTAATAGTAATATTAATCACATTATCAGTATTATTTCAGGACTTGACTGCAAACACTGAATGAGGACTGAGTAAAGAACAATAGGACAGAGTCAGAGTGTTGGCACTGTGCTCACAGCTTTGAGACATCCAGCCAGTTGTGCACTCCTTCTGATAACATCTCCCCCGCTTAGTCCAAATAGAAAAAGAAAAATGATCCATCCATTCACTTCCACTTATCCTTTTCAGGGTCGCGGGGGGCGCTGGAGCCTATCCCAGCTGTCATAGGGCGAGAGGCAGGGTACACCCTGGACAGGTCGCCAGTCTGTCACAAGGCTAACACACAGGGACAAACAACCATTCGCACTCACATTCATTTGCACATTCACACCTAGTGACAATTTGGGTTATCCAATTAACCTATCCCCACAAGCTGCATGTCTTTGGACGGTGGGAGGAAGCCGGAGTACCCGAAGGGAACCCACGCAGACACGGGGAGAACATGCAAACTCCACACAGAAAGACCCCAGCCTGATGTTGGAATTGAACTCAGGACCTTCTTGCTGTGCGGCAACAGTGCTAACCACCGTGCCACCGTGCTGCTGAAATGATGAAAAATATTATTGCTTTAATACCCACAATTATTTTGTACAGAAATGCACAAAACAGCATAGAGGGATATGATTATTCTAGCCCCAAACTAGTAACCCGGGAAACCCAAAAAACTTTATTTTGGTGTAAGAAAAGGAAAAATAGTTTTTCAAATGTATGTATTTGCTATGACTTTCGTAACTGCAGGTAGAAATTGTTAACATGAATTGATATCGCAATAAATGTATAATTTTCACAATGCTCACCCTGATATGGGGAATAATTTGTGTTGTAAGGAGCTGTTTTGTTTGTTTTACATATGTTTATGGTATGGTGTTGTATGCCTATGTGTAGCTTGTTGTAGTTTCTTTTTTGATGGTGTGCAGTTACAGTTAATGGGGATCAATGGCCCCTTTAATTAAAAACTCTTTACATATAGATTGAGGCGTACTGCCCCCTGTTGGCTTAAACTAAATATACGTTAAAAAAATCTGACTTTTTTCATTGTTTATAGAATGGAAGTGTAGGAAGAGTAAGGAAGGACAAACAAAACCTCTTTGTTACTGAGTATGTTTTGAATTAGTTTGAGGTTTTCGCTTTCTTTTCTTAAACAGTCTTTTGTATAGACATTGACATTACGGTTTTTCTCTGATGTTTGCATATTAGTGGCTAGTGTTCGTCTGTGGTATGTCTCCACTGTTGCTTAAAAAGAGAAGGTAAACTGCACACTTAGAAATTTTTATTGTCTTACGATTCACATAAAATGGCGTTAACGTCATGTCCTTCCTGTATGTTGCCTTCCTGTCATCTTGAACTAATCAATCCATGCTTCTCAGAATTAAACAAGGAATTGTCTCTGACAACTCAGATCAGCAGTTTCTGAAATACTCAGACTGGCCTGTCTGGCACCATCACATTCAGAGTCACTTAAATCACCCCTCGTCTATATTCTGATTCTCAGTTCACACTGAGTGCCTCCCACGTGGTTGGCCGAGTTAGATATTTACATTAAGGAGCAGTTGAAAAGGAGTACCTAATGAAGTGGCCAGTGTTTATATGTTTTTCCTGCTTTAAGTAAAAATGTATGCTGGGAAATGCCTATTGTTGTGCAGACATCCAGGGCTCTAGGAACCAGTCCAAAGTGCTCTATAGAACATGCCTCAATCATACGTTCACATTCATACAAGAATCAAACATTCACACACATTCCTTCAGAGAGCAACTTAGGGTCAGTACCTTTCCACAGGATATTTGGCATGTGTACTGTAACAGCCAGGGATCGAACCACCAATCTGAGTAGTAGATGATCTGCTCTATCTCCTGAGCTTGAGCTAGGTAGATTAATAGTTTTTGGGTTGTGTGGGGTTTTTTTGTTTTGTTTTTTTAGAAGTAAGATACAACATATAATTATGTGTAAAAACCATGGCAAATAGTTGATATGAAAGTTATAGTACTAATTTACAGTTAAAGTGCAACTCTGTTATGTAGAGTGAATGCAGCATTTTCTCCACACAAATATCGCATTAAGAACACCCCGCTGTCACTGATTCAAAAGCAAAACAAACAAACCAAACTGGCAGCTTAAGCTGTCTCCTGTGTATCTCACCTAAATTTGAAATGAAACATAAAAGCTGTTGCATATTGAAGACATTTTTTTGAGACACCCGCAGCATTTTCAGAAGATTTTAATATTGCAATTTGCATTTCAAAGACACTGAGAGTCAAAAAAGGGATAGGCCACCCACAGAGATAGCAAAGGCAGAGCTGTAGGTTAAACAGCCTCTCCTCGAGTTTCTCAAAAAGGGTGCACGGACAGAAAAGGAGCCATGGGAAAAATAGACTTGGGTTGTTTCTTGTGCTTAACCTCACATCTCCCACAGACCTATACATTTAGCACACGAAAATATGACCAATCACTTGACAGGTTCTTGCTGTTCAGCGAATTTCACAATGTTAGCACTTTGTCATGTCAGCCTATATTTACATACAGCATCAACAAAATTGCTAATGGAGTACCAGATGGATTTACCTCAGAAAAATGCACAGAAAAGCTCAAACATTCAGATACTTTCAAAAGACTCAAACTCCACTGGACAGTTTTTATTTAAAACATTCTGCTTCCTCGTTTTTACCACTGTGCCAAAACAAACCAACGGAATCTAAAAGATGTCAAAGAAGCAGACGTAGATATAATGGGCTGTTTTTGTTTCTCTGGCATTAGACAGGCACTGAAGCACCACATTGGTATATTGTGGTTTTTGCCATTACAGGACTCAGGATTAATGATGAACTTCTATTACTTCCCTGTATAGTGACTGTGCATCGTAAAATTATACTGCAGTTACTACATTTGGAGACCACACTTCCTGTCTTTAAAAAGTACATATGGCACTAATTTGTGTAAAACTCTAGTCTAAAATACAAATAAAGCAGTAAACATGCTCTTCAGTATTACAGGTTCTTGGTAAAAGGCTTAGTTGTGTGCTTGTTAATGTGCAGCCACTTTAGCAAAATGCTTTTTGCTGTCTACAGACAAAAGGCAGACTCTAGTTATGTTACATCCATGTTCACTGCAGTTACACGACCTTTTGAGGTACAAAACGTTAAAGGTTAAGAATCTTTTGCGATTCTGCTACGTCCGTTGAACTTCTGCCTCAGTCCATATTTTAAAAAAACAAAGTAAAAACTATGTATCGTCACCTCAGCCTTTGGTGCGTAACTTTATGCCCTCTGCATTATGGTTGATGTGATTCATTCATTCATTTTCAGACACCGTTTCCATTGGAAAAAGCATCACAATCGTGATGGCCATGTAGCTCGAGGAGAATGAAAAACAGTTTCAGTATCACCTCTAATCTCAGAAGTCATCAAAATGAAAGAATGTATGTGTACAATTAACTACAACATAAAACAAATATTAACATTCCTGCCATCTTCTCCAAATAAAAGACAGGAATGTCATTGTCAATACATAAATACATTTACAATAACTACAACTTTTAAAAATATTATGTGGTCAATCCAAAATAACACAAACATTTAAAGTACAATATTATACAACAAAACTAAAATCGGACTCTGAAACAACACTTCATGACGAAGAAATGATCATACATGTTGTGAAATATACATTATTAATCTAGCTTTTTCATTTACAATTCTCATCGACTGACATACCATATATTACAGCGAGAAAGGAGCTGGAGTTAATGGTAGGACAAGTGCATAGCAAAATAGAAGATTATTTTAACCAAGTTAAAGAAACGCATAAAACTGACAAACTGGCTTTAGAAAACAACATTTAAAAACCGTGTTTAAGGCAAATCTCATCATTTAAAATTGGCATAGTCTGAGAAAATGTCAACAAAGTCTTGTACCACCCTGTAGCAGAAGTCATATTGTTCCTGTGGGACGGAAAGAAAAACAAAAAGATGGTTAAAGATGGACACATAATTGCCAACAAAATCAGCGACACTCGAGCTAAAGCGAGACATTTTTCTAGTGCTTTTAAATACTTGGGAACCACTCACCACTGTTTGGACCATGTGAGGCCTCTGCATGCGTAAACTCTTCACAGTTTGAAACACGTCCAGCAGGCCTTCTGCCTTGACTCGCTCCAAGATATTGCTCAGTGCAATGAACGTACCTGTTCGCCCTGCACCAGCACTGCAGGACACACAAAGCACGAACAGTGTTTGCAATGCAAAAATCCTTCTATATTTTATATTGTCAGATAAAAAAGAAGACAACAAATGTGACAAGGTAAGTGTATATAATATTTATATGAATAGAGTTCTATGTGTTGTACCTGCAGTGTACAACAATGGGGTGGTTCCCAGACTGCTGCTGCTGTTTCTGCACTGCGGCGATAATGTCGATCATGCCTTTCCCCTCGGCCGGGATTCCGATCTCTGGCCAGCCGTGGAAGTGGAAGTGCCTGATCATCCTTGTCTGCTTCTCCTTTGAGAGGAAACCCACAGGCGGTTGAGAGATCAAAATATCGTTCAAATATGATTTATTAGCAGCATATGAAAGCGTAATGGCAAGTGTGACGTCAATACAGGTGAAACGTGCAGCAGACGAGTGGTGGACATATGGGTGAGGCCCAGGGAGGCAGGAATGTACTACAAAGCCTCTGGGAGGTGAGGCGGGTCGAATTAAATAAAATATATGAGATGGGAGGCTCCCGCTTGATAACCCTAAACACTTCCTATCCTTATTTTTCCCTCTGGCAGCCCAGAGAGCTCGATATACTCACTTAGAGATTTGTTGCTGTTAGCCAATTGTATTAGAGCCTGTCTAGCTTTACAAAGATAAAAATACTTTCAACTTTCTAAAAAAAATCCTACTCATCTTTTAACTAACACTCTACTAAGCAACTAATCTGTCATTTCACTTGTTGATATCTTTATACCATTTTCACTCACATCTGTAGTTTAAATGATTTGAAAATCATTGCAATACAGCAATTTAAAAAATATATAGTACACCTTTATTCAGTTGTAAGGTTTTATGTATCAGGACATAATAGAAAAAAAAACCTTGTCCGTAAGAAGTTTGAAAATCGGGTAAATACAAGCATACATGACAAAACATCAGCAGGGATCTTAGGTAAGCAGCTGCTGCTGGGAAGGGCTATAAGTTCATTGACAAACACTAAACTACAGTGAGGAAGATTGCTGCTGTTATTGGTTTTAGCATTTAAAACACTCGATAAATGAAACGAGACAATACATAGTTTGTCCACCAGAGGGTACACACGTATTCTCTGTAATTCATAACTTGTTGTGTCAATAAAACGGTAGTATTTTTAAACTGCATCACTATATCGTCTTAGTAAGGATCAATGAATGAAACAAATCTGTTTGTTTCACGTCTGCAAAAGGTAAAAAATTATCTTCAGATATATTGACTTTCTTAAAAAAAAAAGAAGAAAAAAAAAAGAAAGAAAATCACCAAATCATTATCGGTATCTCTCTGTCAAACTTTAGATCACAACATTCAATACAGCCACCAATCTTCCCACCAGTGGATCTCCCAGCAAATTCATAACATGAGGACATCTGCCCAAAAGCTAAAGCTGGAGCCACATTAGCTCATGCACAGCAGATATTCTAAAAGTGATTGGCTTAAAAAAAATCATACAGAAAATGTATGATTGATGACTAAGAACCATTCTGAAAATGATTCTTAGTTATTTTACCGACTGTTTCTACAGTTTGGCTTAGTTTTCTTTAAATGACGTGGTGTAAATAACGTGGTAGTGTTCATCTGAGGTCCTATTTGCCTAATTTTAAGACGTGCTAATGGCAAGATGCTTTTAATTATTTATTTTTTAATATCATATCCTTATCCTTTATTTATTTGATACCCCTGAGCCACAGTCGCCCCGTGGCTCAGGGGGTTGGGAAGCGCATCTGTAACCGGAAGGTTGCCGGTTCGATCCCTGGGCTCTTTGTCCTGGTCGTTGTGTCCTTGGGCAAGACACTTTACCCTACTGGTGTTGGCCAAAGGGGCCGATGGCAGCCTCGCCTCTGTCAGTCTACCCCAGGGCAGCTGTGGCTACAACCGTAGCTTGCCTCCACCAGTGTGTGAATGTGAGAGTGAATGAATAGTGGCATTGTAAGGTGCCTTGAAAAGCGTTGTATAAATCCAATCCATTATTATTTATTGGGTAAGAATTCAGAAGTTGTAATGGAGTTATTTTATGTTGTGTTGTGACACTTGTTCAATTTTCATATTCTAAAAACCAATTATTTTATATAAAGGAATTGCATGAAGGATCAATAAAAGCCTTTATTTCACGATAACTGACAAAGATGCAGAGCAGGCGCGTTACATTTGCCTGTATTGATAGGACAGGTTTAATTTGCTTACCGGAACAAAGGTGAGTACCAAGTCTCGTAGGCTAAAGGTTTCACACAGGGTGTCTCCCTTTAGCTCTACTGTGTAGTCTCCATAGGAGACTGAGTCCTCTGTCGGCCAGTACTGGCAACATTTGTCCTGCAAAACAGATGAACATTTGTTTACTCACAGCGATGAATAAAAGAAACTGTAGTTTAACAAGTTAAATACTTCATAAATATGAACTTAAATAAATGTACAGTTTCGCGACAAAGGCAGGAAATCAGAACTGGGACGTTTTATGTTGTGTGTATTTGTTGTGTTTATTAAAGCCATCAATCATAGCTGGCTTGCAGCGATTAGTTACTGCAGCTTACCTGCTCCCTCTCCTGGAGCTCAGTGAGCATGACTATGGAGTGACATTTCCACTCCCACACCATTCTCCAAAAATCCTCCACTGTGTGCTGCAGAGGGCCCTGTGTGGCAATGTAGTAGTCCTTGTGTCTGTAGCCCTGAGTCAAATCAAAATATAAAGGACTTTATCAGTATAATATAAAGCTTCATCGGTACAATTATTTGTGTTAACAAAAATACCTTAAAACCTCAGAAAGAACAAATTAGGAAATACAATATGCTCACATCTATAAAAGACGCATTGACATAGTCTGTGTACTCTTGACCTCTTCTCATGGAAAGAATTACTCTGTTGAAGTCATCTGAAATGGAAACAGTACATCATAAACACGCAGATTAAACTCAAAAACATGTTTACATTAGTAGTATGGTATTGTAAGTATTGCAAGGGACAGAATTAGAAAAACATTCTAAAGGCAGCTGCAGGCACTGTAATCTGCAGCTCAAAATTTGACATAAGTTGGTTATTTATATGGATTTCATCTTACTTACAGGGAATAATTTGCAGAACTCTGTTCTTCTTCATGTTGGCTGGGAGGTTTCCTGTTCTCATGTTCTCTTTCATTATGCGCATGTTAGTCAGTTTCTAAACAAGGAAAATCTAAATGTTACAACTTTATAAAATATTCACCGTCCTTTGGTTTATGAATCAAAACAGGGGAAATAAACTAAGCTGCAGTATTGATGATAAATCATAATGACCATTTTGTAGCACAATTGAATTCTCATGCAGCAATAGAGGAATGTATGCAAGTCAGGTTTATATGTGCAGTGGTGTGCTGATTTTTGGTTTTTTTTCTTTCACATATTTCAGATACGTTTAGACAAAGACAACCAAAGGAAATAAAAAGGCAGTTTTACATCATGATTTCATTTATTAAGAGTAAACCAGCTATCTATGTGTACGTGTCTTGTCTAAACCTAATAACGGACTTTGACCATTTGTGATCATTTGCAATGAGTTGGTCTTCTTTGCTGATTTTGAAGAAGAGTGGTTTCAGATCATCAAAATTTGTTTGATCTGTTTGATATGAAACATGTGACAAATATGCAAAAAAAAAAAAAGAAAGAACTGGGGAAGAAGCTAAGTACCTTTTGACTGCACTATATGTTCTTAGAAGTGATATGACTGAAGGGGATTGAAAAAGCTAGAATTTCTTTTGCATTGATTATTAGTGTATAGTTTTAGTGCCTGCGTGGGCAGGTTCATAGTTTCCAGAACCTTCACATGCTTCATAACATTTATGAAAAGTGTTTCAATAACTGACAAATAAAAAGCTTAATAAGTTAAAATGACTAATAAAGAAACAACTGCATTTTTGTTAGGTTTTCTTTAGAGATTTCTAAGTTTAGTCTGTAATATTGTGTGAGCGTTTGTTAGATGGGATCCTTTAAGGGTCTGAATGTAAAAAGAGGTTCTACCTTAAACTCTTCCTCCAGGCCAATCCGATCACCATCATTAAAGGTGTTGTGCAGTTTCTGCAGATGACCTTCCAGAGAAGAAACATCCAGTTCTGTGTCTCCATAGAGGTAGTATTCAAGCAAGGCCTGATAGATGAATGAGTACTGCATCTGGAGTGAAAATACACACAGATGAATAACACACACTATGCATGGGCCTAGTTGCAGATGATTTACTGTAAAGGATAATTCACATGTCCCACACACATGCCAGGTGTTAGCGTTACGTCATGTGGCTAACATAATCCTTCTCCAACTCACATCTGTCTGGATGAGTTGCGAGCGCTGCTCTCGTATCTTGGAGACAAACCCAAATACGTCAATTTTCTGCTCTGCGTGCATCATTTCAATCATGGCATCTATTACAATGAAGGTTCCCGTCCTCCCAACACCAGCACTGGAGATGGAAAACAAATGACACACTGAGCTGAGTGAACCATAATCCTCAGCTGACACTAGCACGTTAACAGACATCAGGAGGGAACAAAGCAACATCTGTGCTTGTAAACACATGTATTGCAATAGTCACTCAAATGTTTCCATCTTTAGCAGAGAGATTGCTTGCCCACACACATACAAAGGGGATGTTTAAGCATAATACACTGATCTCCATAGAAACAAATTGGATAATTAAAACCATTAGGAGTAAACAGTAAAATACTGAACATTAGGCTACATTAGCTCAGCTCTCGCATACCTGCAGTGGACCACAATGGGCCCAGCGAAGTCTGGATTTACTGACTTGACCTTTTTGAGAAATTTGAGCATTCCAATTGGGGAGAAAGGAACTCCAAAGTCAGGCCAGCTGGTGAAATGGAGCTGGGTGACCAGGCGGGGAGTCTTAGCGGCGTCACTGGCCTGCTAAATAGACACAAGAGGGGGGAAAAGCCATTATCTCTTGTTGGTTGAGCATTCTGTTGAAGATCATTATCAACTCTGTCTTACTCCCAAACCAGCTAGGGAAGCAAAAACAAACCCAATAATTGTTCCTCTAAGACGAATTTGGGCCAAAGTGGTCCGACTGTTTCCGACTTCATATTTAATGTATCATCTAGTATTTAGTAGAGCCCAAAATTATATGTAGGTAAATCCACCCCTACTACTGGAAGGAATGGCTTAATAAGAGTATTAGAGTTTTGGGGGATTTATATATTATAATGGTGCACTGAAATCCTTTGAAGATATTGTGCAGCAGTCTGGAGTAATTTTAGTTTTTCATATACTTGCAGCTTTATCATTTTCTGTTGGGGATCTTTGGATCTGTTACAGTGGCTCCAAAATAAGTAGAATGTCTGGATAGAGTTCTACTAAGTTATGGGAAGCGACATAAGGCTTTAGTGTATTACTATGTTATTTCAGCATATGGGTAACAGAACCATGTTACCCCTAAGAATACTTGGGAAAACTACATTAACATGACATTAAATGGTTAAGAGTAGTTATTAAGTATATCAAAGCAATATCACAAAAAGTAAGTACAAATCTTTTCCAGTTTCATTTGCTACTCCAATCTGTTAGAGATGTAAGTCTCAAAAGGGGAATTTCATTTATGTTCTGTGGTTGCATGACAAAGTGCAAGGTTTTTGTGAAAGTGTTAAGAAAACTGTACGTGAGATTTCAGTTCCCAGTACCACTTAGCTCAAGATTGGTTGTTTTATGGGATTGGTAAATCTGGATGGGTGGTGATAAATACAATATATTGCTGTGATAATGGATGGATTCTGGTTTATTATGAGTGGTGAAACTTTGTTTAATTCTAGCCAAGTGTTGCTGACAAGTGCTACTATTGAGTGTTATGTATTGAGTTTAAAGACTAGACAGGAAGCTGTTAACGCTAACCAGCGTCATGGTGGCAATTGATTTTATCCATAGTTCTGGATATATTTGCTATCAGAAAAAAATAACCACAATTTATAATGTATGCATACTATGTGCAATAATAACAGAGTCAATGGTCAAAACTTACATATTGCACACAGAACTTGCGTATGGTGTAATCCACCAGGACTGTGAAGTCATCGACCGCTACCCTCACATTTCCGTAAGTCCAACAACCCTGGTCTGGCCAGTACTGGTAACATTTGTCCTGCAGAGAGATGATATCCATTAATATTAGTATTCATTTTTACTGATCTACATAGCAAAACTGATTCTCTGGCTTTTGCCATCTTAAATATAAAGCTGTGTCTTTGTAAGTGGTGCAGTGATGGAAATTAACACGATTAGCATCTTTTTGATGGCAGGAGAAAACCAAATCTCCCAGAGAAACCCGGTTCAAACCCAGGACCCTCTTTCTATAACCACGGAGACGCTGTGCTGTAATGAATAAATGATCAAAGCAACTGTCTGTGACACATCTAAAAAAGTTTCCTTTATTAAGACAAACGGGTAACTTGCACGACTTCCGTCGGTAAGCAAGCAGTTAGTATATGAGAGCGGTGAAACCACTCCATATCTATTTTTACTTGATTATGATACTACCTTGGACGACTTTATCTCACACGTTATATGACAACTGATTTGAACACATTAACACCCTTTTTAATACTTCCCTATTTTTATCGATCCTTTGTTAATAAAGTCGCCTTTGCTCACAGTAAAAACACTTCAAGTACTGTGCTGTGAAAAAGTATTTACCCGCTTCCTGATTTTAGTGTTTTGCATATTTACCCTACTTCAGATCAAAAAAATCTTTAATGTTAGACAACAATAATCCAAGTAAATACAAAATGCAGTTGTTAAAATAATGATTAAAACCTCATTCCATTTATTAAGGAAAAAAGCTATAAAAACGTACCTGACCACGTGTGAAAAAGTAATTGAATCAAGAAATACCTTAAACCTGTTTTACCTGTTTAATAAAATGTGGTACGCTGAGAGCATCATGCTACGATCTAAAGAAGCATATATCTGTCTGGAAAAGGTTACAAAGCCATTTCTAAGGCTTTGTGACTCCAGTGAACCATTATTCACAAGTGGAGAAAACTTGTAACAGTCATGAACCTTCCCAGAAGTGGGTGGCCTACCAAAAGTACTCCGAGTGCACATCGCAGACTCATCGAAGATGTCATAAAAATATCCCGAGCAACATTTAAAGAACTGCAGGCCTCACTTGCTTCAGTTAAGGTCAGTGTTCAAGATGAGGGAAGATATAAGAAAGACACTATCCAGTGCAAACTTTTTGTAAAGTTTGTGTACAGTTACATATTATATAAAAACATTGCAGCATTTTCTAAGTAGATCAACAGTCAAACATTTCTCACATAGAGCCAGGTAGGTTTGGATAGCTTTTTTTCCCCTTAATAAATTCAAAACTACATTTTGTATTTAATCCGGTTATTTTTGTTTAATATGGAAATTTTTTGATACAAAACATGTAAGTGCAACAATAAGAAAGTAAATAAGAAATCAGGAAATCAGGAACAGGGAAAATACTTTTTCCCTTAACATGTAGCAGAGAAACAGGCATCAGACAAGATAACATCATCTGACACCACCTTTGACCACAACCAATGAAATCTATATTTACATGTGCTTAAGGGAAACTTTACTTTTCACTTCCCTTGTCCAAAATGCTGTTAGAGACGAGAGTTGGTGGAAGAAGCAAACACTGTAGTTATAGCTGTAGAGACCACATGACAACTGAAGCACTCCCGTTATGAACAACGTTTAAAATCACTTACTTCTTTTCTTTCTTTCAGGTTTGTCAACATAACAACGGTTGATACTTTCTGCTCCCAAATCATCCGCCAGAAATCTGCTACGGTGTCTTCTTTTGGACCTAACAGATCCCCCCCCCCAAAAAAAATTAAATTAAACCACAATTTAAAACTAAAAATATATATAGAGATAATTATGTCATGTTTCTAAATGCCCTATAGCTTACCTTGTGCGCCTATGAATTTGTTCTTTTCCGTGAAACCCTATTTTAAAAAAAATCAAAAATAAATATAGGATTAATAATCTTCACTGTTTTTCACCTGAAATGGTAGAGATCAGACAAGTATTTAAATGCTCAAGAGTTCAAGCTCAAATTCACTATTTTGGCACAAAAAAGGACTCACATCAATGTAAGAGGCATTCACATAGTCTGAACAGGGATTTCCCTCCAGCTCTGTTAACACCACTCTAGAATGATCATCTGCAATGAAAAGTACCACAAATTTAGCAAAAATGCAACTTTTAAATCAGTTTACAATGTGTATCATTACTACATTATTAAAAATGATTATAAAATATATATATTGAGAAATATACTTTTGCTTTCTTGGAGATGGCTGGATGAGAAGATTAAAGCATGTCTGTGCAGTCTGAAGCCACAATCAGCAGACTACCTGACTAATTTGGCATTAAGCCTTTAAACAAGCAGTAACTTTTTTAAGGCTCTTCTGGTTTACTGTCATTTGTTTACACTATTTGTATATATTTACAGCAGACCCGTATTCCCTTAAACCCGGAGAAAGCTGAAAATACTGCACTCAGTGTATGTTCAAGTGATTCCCAATGTCATCATTTTGGTATTTGGTCTCTATTTAAAAAGGCCTGAAACAGTTTTCTCTCAGTGGAGTCTGTTGAAGTACAGTGACCTGAGTGTTTTTGATGGAATTGGATGTTTTGGCTCTGCAGAGACAACGCAGCTGCTTGTTGATAGCACAGAGACGTACTGTGATTACTGATCTGCAGAGCTAACACAGCAAGGACTATATGAAACGCTATGACATAAGAACCGTAGAATGTAACCACCTTTGTTCTTACAAATTTGTTTACCACTTCCCCTTGAAATTAAGCAATTATTTATATTTTATACTATTCATCTGTGGCTCTTGGGCAAACCTAGTCTCATTATAAATTCTATAAAACCTGTATTTCACAAATCTGGCTTCCAACAATCACTAATCCGTCATTAACGTGGTCATAGCTCTGACTGTGTCAGCACAGCAGCCCCTCCAACCTGCTGTTCAAACTTTCAGTTTGCAAGGTGCAGCCAATCATAATACAGCTGGGTGGGGGGTGGAGCTACACCAAGGCCAAGCGTAAGATGAAGATTATTCTGAAGAGTCCAAAAATAGAAACATGGCTCCATAAAAGTATAGGAAGTATATATTTCAAGTCTTTGTGATAGGGTGACTAGAAGGTTTGTATTAAAATAAGTGGTAGCTCTTGCCTTGAAAGCAAATGAACATGTTTCCATGGAATTCAAACCATTTATTTAAGGTGAAGAACAGTTTAAAAAAACCTAAACCGTGATGCATTGTGAAAATACAGCAGAAACCGCAAGTAAAAAAGATTTGTGATGAAACCACTTCATTGCAAATGCACACACAAACTCTTCTGAAGAATCTACTGTAGCAAGGGAAACAAGAGTGTTTGAGGCATGTGACACATGGGACAGGAAGCTTGTAGGTGTGACTCAGAAAACTGAACAGAAAGTATACTCACAGGGAAGGATGTTGGGGTATCTGTTCTTCTCCTTATTTTCTTCCTTGTTTGCTTCTTCGTATGTCCCTTGGGGATTACCCCCTGGCAAGGACTGCAAAATAAAATGATAGTTTTGAATATACGCGCACATAATGAAAAATGATTCGTCAGCAGCTCACGGCCAGTGCATTGTGTTCTGCTCTATGCAAGGCTTTGTTCAGCCTTAGTGTAGGCACTTCCTCTGCTGCCTGCCATAAACAGTTCTCCATTAAAAGCTGAGAACTTCAGCTTCCTCTGTCTGTACTGATAAACCATCTAAATGAAATCATACTTCAATGTGTTAACATAAAGCATGAATCATACTCTTTATTTTGATACAAATTCTAAATCATAGACACATATAGACGAAGGGGTATTTTTTCCATCTGCGTGGGTGTATGTATCAGACCAGTATCAGATCAGTTATGTGTCATGGGAGGTGCAATAAATAAAGCTCCCGTAGTTTTCCCTGAACAAAAATACACATGTAAGTCATGGTTTTGAACTCTTGCTCACATATGAACATGGAGAACATTACAGTTATGGGAAAACCCTTTCAGTCCAGTTTTGGATAGTTTGTGATAGTTTTGTTGCCACAACACAGATATGACGAAGTTTGACCATTGTAAATCATTTCACACAGTGTTACTGAGTAAGCAATTTAATTTATACTTTGTACGATTGTTAATTTAATTAGTAACTAAATTTCACTGGTAAATCATGCATAGAATTAGAGGTGGGGAGGCACTTGCAGTGTGTTTAAAAAAGGAAAAAAGTGAACCAATATTTCAACAGACCTACAAATGCACATGAATGCACCATAATAGCCCTGCCTCACATGCCTGATGTAAGCCATCACTCTGATTGTTTAAACCACACAAAACTGGTTTGTGACTACCGTTAACTACCGCTAATCTAACTTCCAGGAAAAAAATAAATAAATAGAAGTGGGGCGGCTTACATTGTACTCCTCCCTGAACAGCTTGCCATCATCAGCTGAGCGGAGCCTGTATTCCTCCTCTAGGTGGTCAACTGGGATGGGCAAGTATGTCTTGGAGGCAGAAGAGGATCTGGGCAGAAGAACCACCGTCTGTTGCTCTGTGGGGAGAAGAGACAGTGGGTTTATCACCCAACCTAAGCTGATTTCTTTGTTTGGTTTTAATATTTTGCCATTAAATTATTTGTTGTGTTCAAATAAAATTTACATTAGCATCATTCAGCTTAGTATTTAAAAGTTGTCCGCTATTAATAAATCAAATTGGTGTCGCTGTGATATTTAGCTATGTTAAATGAGTAGTTGAATGTAATTCAATGCAAAACATTTGATTTGGTTTATTTAGAAAAGTGGTTCCCAACCTTTTTGTCATGTGGCAAGGGAATCATATCTCAATTACTGATTTCACTTTAGGGGGTTACTTTGCACAACCTATATAATATTATGCAATATACTAGTTTCATATGTTTTTTTCTACAGTTCACCTTATGATTACCACTCTAATTTTATCAGTAATTTTAGGCAAATCATTGGTTTAACTAATAGCTAATACTTTATTTTATCAGATCTCATTGGCTAACTATTTTGACTGTCTATTAGCTACTTTTAGACACATGCTGTAGTTACTTAAACACTTTAAATAGCTAAAGCACTTATTTGCTAGTGTTACTTCCATAATTTCAATGGTATACTAGCTCCTTTTAGCTGACATCTTGAATATGTATCTATTAGCTGCCTTTAGCTGACTATGTTGACAGCTTAATTATTAGCCATGCATTTCAGCTACTCGCTAACGTTATTTTCAGCTGTAATTTCAACAATTTGTCTACTTCTTTGTGGTATTATGACCATTTATCCACTCCTTTTAGCTGTTTAGACTATTCTAGCCTATTAAATAGCATTACATATTCTGAAGACTGTCTGACGCTATTTAGTAAAAGACTAGACTAGTTCAGTCTACAATAGCGCACCTTGGGACTGAAGCATATCTGGTTGGGAATCACTGAATTAGTTTACTGAACTGCTTTACAATGAATCAAAAAACAAAATCATGACCAAACTGCTTTTCACCCACATGTGATGCTGGTGCGTGTTTGCTAAACAGGAAACAGAGTGCAAGTACTGGATGATCACCACACATCAGACATTAAAACCCAAAAAACCCAAAAGGAACCCCAGGGAGAACCCATTTACACCATCCCACAGGTTTGCCAGCGCACTGGCAAGGCATTCTGTTAGCGTCACAATTTGCAAAATACAGACTGGAAAAGTACTGAGAGAGGGTTAGTAAAAGGTTCCTGATACTGCCACCCTGTATACTTGACCTGGTGGTATAATGGTGTATAACGACTCAGTACTGTGTCCAAGCTCTAAAACATAACACACACATCACATCACTTGTAACACAGACATGTACAGAGGACAACACAGCACTGTGATCAAGCATTGCATTTCATTCATTGTGATAATGTAATCCTCATAGATGTACTGTGTACAAATAAAAAACTTGTATGTATATACACTCAGATGCCACTTTGTTAGGTACACCTGTTGAACTGCTTATTAACAAATATCTAATCAGCCAATCCCATGGCTGCAACTCAGTGCATTTAGGCATGTAGAAATCCTTAAGACAATCTTCTGAAATTCAGGAAGAGCATCAGAAAGGTGATTTCTGAGATTTTGAACGTGTCATGGTTACTAGTGCCAGATGGGCTGGTCTTTTCCCTCACAACCATCTCTAGGGTTTACAGATAATGGTCCAAAATAGGAGAAATTATCCATTGAGCAGCAGTTCTCTGGAGTAAAATGTCTCATTTATTTAAGAGGTCAGTGGAGAATGGCTTGACTATTTCAAGCTTATAGAAAAGCAACAGTAACTGAACCACTTATTAAAACCAAAGTACACAGAAGATCACGTCTGAACGTACAAAATGTCGAACCTTGAAGCAGCTAGACTACAGCAGCAAAAGATCATATACAGTGTCACTCCTGCCAGCTAAGAACAGGAAACTGTTACTACAATTCACACAGTCTTACCAAATTTGGACAATGGAGGATGATGAGTCTGGACTTCAATGATATTTGGATGGTAGGGTCAAGATGGCATAAACAGCATGAACAACAAACACAAACAACAAGCATGGATCCATACTGCCTTATATCAACAATTCAGGTTGCTAAAGCTGTGCGGGATATTTTCTTGGTGCAGCTTGGGCTCCTTAGTACCAATTACCACTGTTTAAAAGCCACAGTCTGCCTGAATATTATTGCTGACCATGTTTATGCCTTTATGATCACACTGTACCCATCTTCCAATGGCTGCTTCCAGTAGGATAACATGCAATGTCACAAAGCCCAAATCATCTATAACTGGTTTCTTGAACATAACAATGAATTCACGGTACTTAAATGGCCTCCACAGTCACCTGATCCCAATTCTGTTGCAAACGTTTGGCATGTAAGAAACAGGAGATTCACATCAGCCAAAAAGTCAACAACAACTGTATGATGCCATCAGCAAGGTGCCAAAATCAAAATGCTTCTGGCACCTTGCTGAATCTAATCAATGAAGAATTAAAGCATTCTAAAAGCAACAGGAAGTCCAGCCAAAGACTAGCAAAGTATACCTAATAAAGTGACCAGTGAGTGTATAATGAATGTAGACAACAATAAGCGATAAAATAAAATAAAAATAAAAAATAAAAAAAGCAATACAGTGTATATTTTATAGTTTCATTATACAGACATATTACTTTAATTAATCAATCTTTCAAATCGTGTAGAATTTAGAATTAAAAAGCAATTAAGTACTACACTTCCCTATCGAGTGAAAGTTTCAGTTTCATATAAAATACTTTTGTAATATGACACTGTTTCATGTTTAAAATTATTGTGATCGGCAGCAAGATGTCAACAAGATATAACAACAAATTTGGGGTGTGCTGTGTATTTTGTTTCCCCTTAGCTCAGTGATATACTATTTCCCATTTGGATAAATACAACATGCTCTCTACATTCCTCTGTAGCGTTAGACAAAAATATACTTCCAAAAGAAGATTGAAACATGTTCAGTGAGTTCAGCGAGTTTCCTGTAAGAGCTGATAGCTCCTGTCATGTGGTACTTTACATGAAACTATTATGATGTCGCTACAAGTTGTCAAAAACTGCTCAGAGAGAAGAACTACCCTTTGTACCAATAATGTTCCAAACTAATCTTACATACGCTGGCAAAAAGCTATACAAAGTGGTAAAGATAATAGAGCGTTTTGTTTTTCACATCAACCACAGGAAGTTTAAAACAACCACAAGGCAATGGTGGGACAACCTGCATATACAGTTACAAATATAAAACCTCTTTGCAGCTCCCTATCGATGCATATCTTAATCTCTAGCCTGTTTTTCACTTTAAGTTTCTGTTTCTGTGCACCACGTTTTAACTCTACAACCCACAATGTGTCTCACAGTGTTACCTTGTTCCTCCAGGATGCCATTTGGTATCTTCTTGTCAACTGTTGTGACTACAGCTTTCCTCTGGTTTTTTAACCTGCAAGGAAAAGAACAGAGACGTTACCGCGATGTAAAACACAAGAAAAGATGATGACATGGTAAAATCATCTACACTGTTTTCGTTTAACCAAAGTTCTTCATTGTAGTTAAATTATAACATCTGCCAAAAGATAACCTTGAAAAAAAGCTATCCAACCTACCATCTGAAACTTGAGAAGCTATTTTTTCTCATTAGCTGATGTCAAGGAGAGACAGAGTTGTAGTCTGAATGCGGTACAGAATTTGTTATTCACTCTGTTAAGTTGCCTACTTCTACTGTCACAGTCTTTTCTGTTCGAAGCATGAGAGGGAGTCAGCCTACAGCACTTCCTGACGGGGCTCCGCCTCAATGACTAAAGGAGGAAGTGTTTGTCACCGGAGCTCTGCCCCTGAGCCTGGCTAATAGCCAGTGAGTGAAGAG